GGCCGACTGCCGCGCCGCGCCGTGCGCGCCGCAGCACGAGTGCGTGGAGGCGGCGCCGGCCTGGCGCTGCGCCCCCGCGGCGCCGGACTCCGCGTGCGCGTCGTCGCCGTGCCACAACGGCACGTGCCTGGCGCTGGACTCCGGCCTGTTCCGCTGCCAGTGCCCGCCCGGCAACAACGGTACGTCTACTCTACCTCTGCTACTTGTATTTTCTCGATAGTTCAGTACTCTCCAAAATGAATTCTGCACTAGATTGTTTGACTGCACGGTTGGCGCGGTGGCTGGGCAACTGGCTGCCGCGCAACGTGTCGCGGGTTCGATTCCCGCACGGAACAACTCTTTGCGTGATCCACAGATTGTTGTTCCGGGTCTGAGTATCATGGGTATATGAACTTGTATGTTTGTAAACGCACCCACGACACAGGAGAAAATCCTAGTGTGGGGCAAAGTTTAAAAAAAAAAAAATAGTGTGTTGTGACGTCAAACGTTGACGTAAATATTTTATTTTTGAGTCGAAATTAATTTATAATACATGGAGACTGACTTATTCGGACTGCGCTAGTATTTTAGTCGAGTAGCGAGTATTTAGTAGACTTCTCTTGCTTCTGTCTTTCAATCATCAATAGCAACTAGATAAAGGGTTACGTACAAAATCAAGCTCCAGTTCTGTCCGTGTAAATAATAATAGTAAAAAAATAACAAACAGAAAAATGTTTTAAATGGTATTAAGTTCAACCTAATAACAACCATGGCACCTAATAATAAAGTCATAAATCGTCAAAATATTATCTAATACTTTACGACCATTCGTCACATAAGACGAGAAAAACATTTTCTTACTCCTGTCATGTAGAAATTAAAAGACATAAGTTATACAATATCTAGTATGAATTCAACCTTAAGCTAGAACAAATAAAGATAACTTTCCGTTATTGCCTTGTGATCTATATCGTTTTGTTTCGTTTTGCTTCTTCGAATTTCGCTACAGGAGGTATGTATGAAGTCGCGTTGAACACTAAAATAATTTTATAATATGAAAATTAAGATAAGTTCTGGCGTTCCACAGGGATCTATCCTAGGTCCACTGCTATTCGTTATCTTTATTAATGACGTTGACAAATGTTTCCTCAGTAGTGACTTTCTACTCTATGCTGATGACTTAAAAATATATGTAAGAATAAATAACTATCAAGACCACATCTATCTTCAAGAAGACCTGGATAGATTCAGCCTATATTGCCTCGAAAACAAATTGGAGCTTAGTCTTAACAAATGTAAAAGTATTAGCTTTAGTAAAAAAAAAGTAGTTAGCAATTACACATATTCACTGTGTGGAACTAACATTGAGAAAGTGCAGTCTATCAGAGACTTGGGTATTACTATAGACAACAAATTACACTTTGATATTCATATAGAAAATATTATTAATAACGCCTTTAAAATGTACGGATTTGTCATGAGGTCAGCCAGTGAATTCAGAAATCCATCGACCTTTACCTATCTCTTTAAATCTTTAATAAGGCCGCAACTTGAGTACGCTGTTGCTATATGGAACCCAATTTACCAAAAATATGAAAATGGCTTAGAAAGGGTACAAAAGAAGTTTCTACGTTGTACTAATTTTAAATGTCTTCGTAAACAATTACCTTACAAGGCACTGCTTAAGTTATATAAGTTACTTGATCTCAAGTCTAGAAGAGTACAACTGGAGGCTATGTTGTTGTTTGATATCTGTAATAACAAATATGATTGTATAAAAATATTAAATAAAATAACATATTCCGTGCCCTTGAGAGCCCATGTGAGAGCCTCTCGTCATAAGCAGGTCTTTGCTAAAACGCGATCACGTACTAACGCCGGCAGTCGGTCCCCGCTGAATCGAATGTTTGGGACATATAATAATAAGTTGAGTACATTGGATATATTTGGCAATAGTAAACATGCATACAGGAAGCAAATAATCAAAATATTATCACAGGAAAATATATAAACCACAATATCGTACATCGTTATGTTGTGTTATAACTGCAACCTACACACACAGACACACACACAAATCAAACAAACATATGCATGCATACATACACGCATTTTTTTTTTTTAAATTATTTTCACCACGGTAACACTTCCTATGAAACCTGATTGAAACATGATTATATTAAGGTGCAGGTTCATCATTTTCTAAATCATTTATATTTAGGTGACCATTGATGTTGAGTTTGCAATAAGTAAAATTGTATTAGTTAAGATATAAATATTAAGGTGTATTGTAAACTTGTTTGTGGTTCCAATAAATAAAAAAAAAAAAAAAATAATAAGATTTGTGGATCTTAGTATACATCACTTATTTTTATTAGCGGTACGTTTTTGTGTATGATATGTTTATTTACTTTATCATTAAAAGTCAAAGTCAAAATCATTTGTTTCAGTTAGACTAGGAAGGCATTTTTGAACGTCAACAATATAAATTTAAAAGTGAAGCTATTTGCTCATTCCAAGGTGTAGATTCCTACGGAGAAGAAACTACATAGGTTAGGTACTCTTTTCCAATCAGGTTACAATACAAATCGACTCCATGCATCCCAGTGGATGATGTGTAGGTAGCGTCATCCTCGCTAATTATACTAGTAGTAGGCACTAATCTGGGCACGCTGTCACAATATTTAAAGATGAACACATTCATAAAAAAAAAATATTTATACTCTATGGTCATCTCACTGGCAACATCATTTACTTCAAAGCACCTGCAACTGCAACACAACTCGACCAGGGGTAAAAATAAACATGTTTATTATCCGGGAAGGGTTGGGACCTAGCGAGGATGACGCTACCTACACAATTGAGGATCGGACGTCACAGGTAAGTTAGTCCGATCTATTTAATTGTATAGGTAGCGTCATCCTCGCTAATTATACTAGTAGACGTTCAAAGAAGGAGTTGTGTTGACAAACAACACTGTTTAATCATTGAACATTGTTGCACTTAAACAAGATATATGACATTGTCAATAACATCAATATCTCACGAGTACTATATAGTACTAGTAAAAACTTAAGCAATAATCAAATTACGTTTATAATTTCCCCAAGATGTAAGCCACTAAACCATTATTAGATATAATAGCTACTTATGGTTATGGTATTGTTTTCAATCATTTTTATCAAATAAAAATACTTATAAAATTAAATACATTTTAAAAATAGTATTAAAAATAAACAGAAGCCCAAAGCACGGGTTATCTTAGTTTGGGTTCCTGACTTTCATCATTGTATTGTCAGGTAAACTGCATTAACCCTATGTAGAACCAAAGTGAAGTGAAGAGAAGAAACAAGCTTATGTCAATATTATAAGATTAATATTAAGATCTACATCATTATGTATTGTGATGGAAAAATAATTAAATGTCCTTATTTATTAATTTAATTATTTAGTAAGCATAGCAACAATATTATTATCTTGAAATTCTGGTGTCCACTACACCAACTATAGGTACACCTACTATGTACGTTTTGAACTATAACGTTGTTCAAATTCAGTCTATTGCGAAAATTTAACGTCTTTCAATAGGTTGTTTTCTTCAAAATTATCAGTTTCTTTTTTTTTTTTTTTTTTTTTTTTGTATATATATTATCTAACTTCTCCATTTTCAGTAGATCTACATTATGATCATGACTCCATACATAGTGATATACAGAGCTAATAAGCTCATGCAATATTAGGATTGTTGGTGGAAAAATGGATTGACTGACCAGGCAGTCGTCTTACTTAAATATATGACTTTGATACTGATTGATACATCTCTGTGAGGCTTTAGAAGAGGTTGAGAGTCCACTGTTATAGTACTAGACATACATTCACTTGAAATTGTAGAATATGATTGATCCCAGAACAATGATTTAAAAATTGTTCTTAAAAATAAAAAATAGTAGGTAGGTAGGTACTATTAAATATGGTTCAGGTTTATTGGCATTATCATTTAGGTACAATCTATAGTGATAGAGATAGTGTGAATTATATGTGCTAATTAATTGATGTTTTAAACTAAAGTTTTAAGCTAAGATTATCATTGGAGTACATACAGGTACATAATAATATTGATTTATTTAGATTGTCATGTACACAATACAATAAAGTTACGGTACATGGTGAACTTGATTCCAAGTGGCATATTCTACCAGTAACCCTCAGGGTTTTAAATAATAATTGTAATAATACACAATTATGTACCTATTTTAGAATAAAACTGGAACCGCACACCACATATTAAAGTTTCTTTTTCTTTTTGGCCTTAATTTGTATACACTTCTAAAAAATCTTGTAGGTAGTTTCTTAATAATTTCACACAAGAGGACCTAGGACTAATGAAGTACCTATCTAATAGTATTCAATAAACTGTATGATAGGTAAATTTAGAAGTAAAAATATAATAATCACAACGGATACATATGCTGAAAAAGTCAAAGCAAAGTCGTATTGCTGTTTTGTTTTACTTTACAATGTGATGCTAGCATTATTCCCATAGAATGCAGTACCTATTCCTTTTCTTAGGAATTCATTCCTGATTATATGGTGGTGACTACATTGTATATGTTGTGTAAAGTGGGTGAACTTCTGGAAGGAAACAACCAGAGATAACACTAGAACTTAATGAGGTTCAGAAACTTGAGTTGAACCGTGGGTATCAATAATGGATCCTAATAACCTTTGCATATACCCCCCCCCCCTTTTTCTCTTTATGACTTTTAAAATTCCGAAAAGAAGGAGGGCATGGAAAAAGAATCTTCCTGCACTTACTGAATAGTGAAAACAACAGTAAAGATATCAGGGTCAGGAACCCATGATACATATATTTCAGTCTCTTATACTTGTTTGCCTATAGATCTTTGGCGTGATACACCAAGTGGTTTTGGAGGCAAACTTTGATTTAAACTCGTGCGAATGGGACATCTGAGTTTATTTAGGTATTTCTTTACCGGCCTTATTTTCTTTTAAGGTGTAAACATTTATTCTAGATTAACTTAAATAACAAGTGTTCAAGTTCTTTTTGGTAAAACAGAACGTATTTGACATCTGATGTTTTAATGTCAACATGTCAAACAAACGTAAATATTGTTTACAGTGAATATTTTGTTGTGCGTATTCGCTTAATAGTTATTATATTGGCCTTACAATTTCAATT